CAGGTACGCATGATGATGATGACCTCGGCCACGAGCGTCACAAGTTGCTCCGAGATGAACGGAGAATCGTCGACAGATTCACCTGAGACAGCACCAGCGTATGATATGAGTTGAGGCTAGACAGCAGCGCTCTTTTAAATCTTTTCAGATTAAAGCAGAATGATGTACAACCATAGAGGTAACTCTAAGACTAGAAGGTCCCGAAATAACGTGCTCAACTTTTTGGCTCAGCTCTGGTACTCTCTTCGGTCCCAAGCTAATCGATTCACCCCTCGAAACATAGGAAAAACCAATAACCCCTCATTTTATCTGTCAAACTTTCATAGCGAATCAAAACAAACATTGCGTAGTACTAGAATTTCGACTAGAATAGGGTACGTAAATCGTTTGCTTGGGACCAATAGGCTAATAAAGTGGTGAGCCAATTTAAAATCGTTAGTTTCGTATTGATTGTTGGTACAACCAAGTGGTACTCGATTATGACGACTGGGTTTGGGAAGAACGTTTATTTCATAAGGACAGTGACCACATTACCGCACTACCACTGTTTCAATAGTTTCTTGTTGGAAATCATCAGTACGTAGCTATATTTCTGATCGATTGCTGATAAAATTATTGAAATTGGTCCAGGGGCAGCTGAGTTATTAATGTTCAAAATCTTTCATAATTTTGTTACATGTTCCATTTTCGGTTTTCACAAAGTGTACCCCACTATAGAAATCACAGACGTAGTCCTACGTCAAAACAATCGATACGAAATTTTCATTTTTAAATTGGGTCATCACTTGACTAGCTCATTGGTCCCAAGTACATCTATAAGCGTACCCCACTATCGTACGAGAATCTGTCAAAGTTTGTGTTTGTTTTGATTCACCTTATAAATTTGACAGAGTTTAATGAGGCCCGTAAAAAAAAATCAAATAAAAATGCAAAAACCCCCGGTAATCTGACCAAACTAAAAATTGCTCAAACGTCATTCATATGGATGCATATGAAATGGAGGAAAGCGAACTGGAACATTGTGAAATGGAACATTGCGAAATGGAACACAGAATCAAAACTAATCAGCAAATAAGGTTACCAGGATCATGCTTCTGGTCTTAGAGTTACCTCTATGCTAATAGCATAGAGGTAACTCTAAGACCACTGGGTCCCGAAGAAAATCATTATTATTTTTGGCTCACTCAGTACCAGAACAACGGTCCCAAGCAGTCCCAAGCTATTTCACTCACCCCTGCATGTTCTGCATGAATCCACACACCCCTGATGTTATCTGTCAAACTTTCATAGCGAATCAAAACAAACATAGTGTAGTAATAGAATTTCAACTAGAATAGGGTACGTTAATCGTTTGCTTGGGACCAATAGGCTACTAAAGTGGTGAGCCAATTTAAAATCGTTAGTTTCGTATTGATTGTTGCTAATAGGGCTACTAGAAGTGTAAATTTTAAATGAACTCCGTTAATATGCATGAAGTGTCGTTCAGATTAGCGGGGGTCCACGGTCTAGTCCACGGTACTATAAAATCTCCACGAAAATCATGGTTCACGCTAACTTGAAAGTACTCATTAATGAGTAAAAATAGACCACTTTTTAAGAAAAGTGGCTTAACTCATTAATGATTAAACAATTTTACCCATTAATGAGTATCTGTTACCCATTAATGATTAACAATTACTCATTAATGGGTAACAGATACTCATTAATGGGTAAAAAATTTACTCATTTAATGAGTTAAGCCACTTTTCTTCAAAATGGGTCTTTTTCAACCATTAATGGGTACTTTCAAGTTAGCGTGTTCACAACAATGATAATCAGGGTACTGTGGACTCCCGGTAATCTGACCGTTTTTAATCTGAACACTTTTTAGTTCGAACCCCGCTAATCTGCGCGCCGTTCAAACCAAAAATTGCTCAAACGTCATTCAGCACATGACATGGAGTAAAGTGAAGAGGAACGATCCGAAACGGATCGCAGAATCAAAACCAAACAGCAAATAAGGTTGCCAGAAACTCGTTTTTTTATGGTTATAGGCCCATACGGTATGGTGTTCATTTTAAAAGTAGTTAACGATTTGCTGCCTCGATATTTGTGTGATCAAATTGAAAGAGGAATTGACTTTCATAGATATAATACTAGAAACGCGGATGAAATAAGAACACCACTTACAGAATTTAAGAGACGTTGCATATAACACGTTAAAGCCAACAATCAATTCGAAACTATCGACTGTAAATTGGCTCACTACTTGACTAGCCTATTGGTCCCAAGCAAATCGATTAACGAACCCCATTCTTGTCAAAATTCTAGAACTACACAATGTTTGTTTTGATTCGCTATGAAAGTTTGACAGATAAAATGAGGGGTTAGTGGATTTTCCTATGTTTCGAGGGGTGAATCGATTAGCTTGGGACCGAAGATAGTACCAGAGCTGAGCCAAAAAGTTGAGCACGTTTATTCGGGACTTTCTGGTCTTAGAGTTACCTCTCTGTTAAAGCTGTCTTTTGAACAGTAATCTAATGAATTTTGTTTGATGAATTGAAGATTTATGCATCTTGACGAAGTTTGTAACGGACGATTTTGTATGGATAGCTGTCATAACGAATTTTTTAATAATTATTGTAGCACCGCAAAAACTATTTTGTTCACCACGATTTTGATGATGGACTTTTAATATTTGATTTAATAGTAGTAGTTAATTTCATATTTGATGAACAAAAAATGGAACATTGGAAGATGCCTTGAATTAGTAGCGAGATTAGTAGCACAAACGAAGCGACAGACGGAGCTGCTCGAAAACTTTGGTGACGAACCTGCTATTGCAATTTTTCAGTGTACCACTGGCAACACTACTACCAACCGGTGGAAACTAACGATTTTAAATTGGCTCACTGCTTGACTAGCCTATTGGTCCCAAGCAAATCGAATAACGTACCCCATTCTAGTCGAAATTCTAGTACTTACTACTTGCGTTCTAGTCAAGGGCCAAGCGCACAGGTTTAGTGGGTCGGGAGTACAATTCTCCCATCCCCACACCCTGAGTTACTTTCTCAGGTGCCTGTGAGCAGATTCCCCCTGTATAAAAAAGACTAGAAGGTCCCGAAATAACGTGCTAAAATTTTAAAGCTCTGGTACTTCGGTCCCAAGCTAATCGATTCACCCCTCGAAACATAGGAAAATCCACTAACCCCTCATTTTATCTGTCAAACTTTCATAGCGAATCAAAATAAACATTGCTTGGAACCAATAAGCTAGTCAAGTAGTGAGCCAATTTAAATCGTTAGTTTCGTATTGATTGTTGATTGTACAACATGGCAAAACTAAATTTACTGGAATGTTTTGGTTCTATCTCTTTCATTCTACTCAAAACTGAAATGCATAAAAAAATACAAAAGGATACACTATTTGCACACTGTCAAAGAACATTGCACACAAAATCAACTTTGTTCAAATCAAAACAAAAATACTAGCCCATCTGGTTTGAATTTGGTACCGCGAAAGCTTACAGGCATACCACGCCAGTAGGTAACCAAATCGATCACTCAAGTAGAATACCGTTGCTAGAGCCTGTGCTCGAAAGCTGTATGACAACCTGCTGACCAAGTCCGATGGGTGCAAACTTATGGATGATGAAACCTATGTAAAGACCGACTTCGGACAGCTTCCAGGACCAAAATTTTACAAGGCGAAGGCTCAAGGGGTGTCCCTGGCAGATCAAATATATGATCTAGCAGGGAATTTGCAGCTACGGCCAGAAGACAAAGATTTTCATCACTGAGAAAATGATCAACTCGGAGGTTTACAAAGCCGAATGTCTCCAGAAGCAAATTCTGCCCTTCATCCAGTCACATGACGGTCCGGTGACATTTTGGCCGGATCTTGCGAGTTGTCACTACAGCCGGGAAGTACAACACTGGTACAATGGCAGCGGAGTCCAGTTTGTTTCGAAAACCTTCAATCTACCCAATTGTCCTCAGTTCAGGCCCTGGGTAATTATGAAGAGGACACTGAAGGTTAAAGATACAGTCATCAAAACGGCAGCTCAGATGAAAAATTTGTGGGATGCTGGTAAATATCACGGCCGTCATTTGATAATGATAAAACAGGTCCTCCCACTATCACGAGACGAAACTACCTACCATTAGCTTTCTTGTCATTTTCCAATGATCAAGCACTCATGAGAATAATTCTAATGCGATTTTGACATCAAAATTTCTAACTGATTTTGATGAATTTAAGCAAGCAGCCTTATGTAATCGGTAAAGTGAATACATTTTTAAGATTTCCTCGGTACAAGTAACTTTAATAGCAATAAATGACCTTGTAATTACGATGATCTTAACACTGTCACGTTCTGTCATGACAAAAAATTCGATGAGATTTTAATCTCTTTCATCGTTTTCTCATCCGATGATAGTGACTGAAGTATCTCTTTAAATATCGCGTGAGTTCTTTCATTGAAAATGACATTTGCCAGCCCTGCTTGAGTGAAAACCGTTTTCAAATCCGAAATAGACCCAAATGATGTTGTTCCATTACTATGTGGGCCATGCTTTATTGGAATGATCGTTCAAGCTCAAATGGTTCAAATAGGTAAATTTGGAGAGAAGTCTCCGCAAATGACAAATTTATTACATTGGACAATTTCTCCTTCCTTGATGATCACCACGCTACATCTCGTCAAACAAACGTTCATTTATGCTCCCCTGTTGGATGTTAACGATATGCTGCGCACTACCAACACCCAACCTTATCCTTGTGTACCGAACAACTTGTAGCTTCGGTGGGACATCGTGTTGCTGATGCTGCTGCTATCATCGCACCACCTCCTCCGTAATACGGACGACAACCATCCGCCGCACATGTCGGTGTGGGTCCTCCTCCCGGCCACCTACCACCGGCAGACGCGAGCAACCTGCCGAGCTTCGTATCGTATCGTCGATATATGTGTATAAAAGCATAGCCCATTGCCATGGTGAACCGCAGTGTCGAAGGAACAACAGCAGCCGGCGTTTGATGCCCCAACAGAACGACTCGGACGACCACCGGAACAGAACAGCATAGAACGAGCTAGCTATAATCCTCGTTGAGTGTTAGAACCACAATTTGACGGTTTTTTTTTTGTTTTCTGCTGGCAAGACGTGTTTGAAAGTGAACTAGATCGGCATTTTGGAGGATCGGAACGGCGACATTTTCGTTGGCAGTGCCAACAGTGACTTGGTGTGATTATTTTTGAGTGAAGTGTGAAGCTCCCAACGGAAGGGATATAAATCTGTGGCAATTGGAAATTCTTTTCGTCGGAGTGGTGATTGTGTGTAATTGCGGAATTCGGCATTTCAAGAGGTGAGTTTTGAACTGGCAGCGGGACGGGGAACAATATTTGTGCAATCATTCAGGATTAGCGTCTGTTTAGGATTGGTGGAGATGTGGCGTGGAAAGACCCGGATGTTAACAATTATTTTATACTATTCGTTTGGTCGTTTTTTGCTGTTCTGAAAACATTTGAGGAAAATTGCAATAGCGTGATAATGGACTGATTTCCGCGGAACCTATTATCGGAAGGGAACCATGCGGGAAATAATTAAATCTTGCGTGCAAATATGTTGATGACCTGAGTTAAACGAAATGAAAGTGAAACAATGAATGTTTTTTTTTGTAAGAATGTATCACAAATCATAGTTGTGCAGGTGGAAAATCCGTCCACTAATGTTGACCTATTTCCTGGAAAATTGCTCATGAGGTAAATCGAGCGATTCTGATGCAATATGAAGCCATTCGTAAATCGGTGGCGAATTGATCACTGTTTAATTTAAATACCGAACCAAATTTCTACAAAATAGAGGACATTGACGAACTAATGGTTTTTAAAGCAGCTCGTTCTGCATGATTATTCGTCATATTGGATGTATTGCTTATTTTTGGGAATGTTTTGAAATTTGGAAATGTAGAAATGGGGTGAAATTGGTCAAGTAGCTTTCCTTGTGCGAAGTGTATTTCAAGCAAAAATGCCAAAATAGTTTCTTAAGGGGAAGTTCACCGGTCCGAAAAAAAATAATAACGTTTTGATTTTTCTAAAAATATTGAAAAAAGGTATCAAAAATCTAAAAAAATCACATTTTTTCTAATTTTTCAAAGAAAATTCACGTGCAAAAACGTTTTTTATAAGTCATTATGGCATAAAGTTGGACTCAAAAAATTACAAAACATCGACTTTTCGGTTTTTCTGAGAGTCCATTGAAAATATGATGAGATAGAAACAATATTTTTACATGTAATTTTTGACAAAAATCTAAGGAAGAAACTGATTTTCTTGGATTTTTGATAATTTTTCCCTATGTTTTTAGAAAAATAAAAACGAACTGAAATTTTTTTTTATTTTCGGGCCGGTAAGCTTTCCCTTAAAATACACAGTTACCTACAAGCATTAAGTTAGCATTATTAAAAATCGTTAGAAATTTGACAAAAATCCTCTAATTTCTTGGCATTGAAAATTTAGAAATCATTACATTTTTAATACTTTGATACTTCAGTAATACGAACCTTAGTCAAAAATCCAATGATCAGCTAATGATAACAGTCGATGCAGCCCTATAATCGTTGGTTTGAATGATGATGTTGTATGCCTCAATCAACTTCAAGTGCAAGATATTTTGCGAACTTTAAAAAATTTAGACGCCTCAAAAGGTCCTGGACCTGACGCAATTCCTCCAGTATTTATTAAATGTCTAGCAATGGAACAACTGCTCCATTGTTCTGGATTTTTAATATGTCCCTGGAATCTGGAACCTTCCCAAAAACTTGGATCAGCTCATTCCTAGTGCCTATCTTTAAATCTGGTCGAAAATCTGACGTACGTAATTATCGTGGTATAGCCATTATCTCTTGCATTCCTAAACTTTTCGAGGCAATTGTCAACGAAAAATTATTTCTCCAAATCAAAAATAGACTTACTGACATGCAACACGGCTTTTTCAAGGGTCGCTCGACCTCGACAAATTACTTGAATTTATAGACTATTCATTGAATGCAATGGATAATGGAAACCACGTAGAAGCTCTCTATACAGACTTTAGCAAAGCATTTGACCGCATAGACATACCAATGCTGCTTTTTAAATTGCAAAAAAAAACTGGAATTGAGTCAGGGCTCCTCAAATGGCTTGAATTATATTTAACTAACCGCCAACAAATAATTAAATTCAACGGAAAGAAATCGAGTCCAATTCAAGTCACTTCAGGCGTCCCCCAAGGCTCTCATTTGGGACCTCTTCTTTTTATTCTATACGTAAACGACATTTCTTTCATTCTCAAAAAACTTAAATTGCTTATTTATGCCGACGACATGAAGCTCTTTTTGGAAACAAGAAATGAAGAAGACATCAATATATTCCGGAATGAAATAAACATATTCTACATATGGTGCAAAAAAAGTCTACTAGAATTGAATGTAAAAAAATGCAACTTAATTTGATTTAGCAGGAAAAGAACAATTTCAAATATTTCAATTGCACTAGGAAATAAAAATGTAGCAAAATGTGAAAGAGTTAGGGATTTAGGAATTATCTTAGATTCTAAACTAACTTTCATAGACCATTACAACACAGGGCAAATAACATGCTAGGCTTTATCAAGCGCTTTCGCTATAACTTTCAGGACCCATACACAATTAAAACACTATATATTGCCTATGTGAGGTCAATACTGGAATATTTCAGCATTGTATGGTCTCCTTTTTCAATCACTCACGAAGAAAGACTAGAATCCGTACAAAAACAATTTCTATTATACGCTCTTCGTAAATTAGGTTGGACATCATTTCCTTTTCCATCATATGAAACACGCTGCATTCTTATAAACATACAAACATTAAAAGAGCGTCGTGAATATGCAATGGTTTCATTTGTAAACGATATCGTTTCGCAGCGCATTGACTCCACAGAACTTTTATCAAAATTAAATTTCCATGCACCTACTCGGCAACTCCGAAATCGAAATTTATTTGCCATAAAACATCATGGCATAAATTATGCAAAATATAGGCCATTAAACCGCATGATGGCCTCTTACAATCAATACTGTTAAACCATTGACTTTACAATGTCTCGGCATAAACTAAAACAATATTTTTACTCCATAAGGCATTATAACTCATAAAAAAATAGGAAAGCTGACACTGCTTAGTTTTTATTAAAGACAAAATTATACTTTTAACCTTTTGTCCAAAGTTGACGAAATAAATAAATAAATTTAAGAAAACAAAACTGTATTCGAATATGTACTAGTCTACGTTGGTTGACGAAATAAAATAAATAAATAAATAAAAAAGCATGCTATTAGACGAAAGTAAAATAAAGTAGAGATTTAGGCAGTAAAATATACTTTTTTATGAGAAAAACTCTTCACAACAATCGTTAGATTCCATTGATGAAATACTATCAATATTTCTCTACATAGATATCTATTGCCAAAAAATCAAGGCAACAGCTGAATATGCAAGGCATTTTGATAAATTTTACCATTCTTCTTCTCCTTCTTCTTCTTCTTTTCCTCTTCTTCTTATTCTTCTTCTTCGCATTTCATGCTTATTGCTTAACGCATGCTCTCAACTTAGTGTTGTAGATGCACTTCCACAGTTATTAATTGAGCGCTTACGATGCCGGTACCATTTTTGTGTGCAAGTTCAATCATCATACTCTATGCCCAGGGAATTCTAGATATTTTCCAACCCTTAAAATGTGTAGACTGGACCGAGAATCGCGCTGATTTTAATGATTTGGAAAAGCAGTAGAATATCGGAAAGGCTAGGAAAAAATAGGACAACATCATTATTTAAAACTTTTGCTGAGGAAAAGAAAAAAAATATCCTGAAATAAAAATTTTGGGTAACAAACGGGTTGGGTAATTTAACGAGTTGTTCATATTGGAACAGATTCATTACTTTGACGATTTCCTTCGGAAGGCTTGTTGCCTGACAAAACGGTTGCTACGACTACCATGACAAACTCGCTCTGTAACAAAGCTCGATCCGAGTGGTAGAAAGATAATGATATATTGCTTGCCTGCTTTGTTGCAATATACACGGATGAGGACATAGCTTGATATGAATCGGGAAAAGACATAACAAAAAAATTCCCATTAACACACGTGTATCATCTTCGGCTTTACTTCGTGAAGCAGCTTGCCAACAATTTGCTCGTTTCCTTCTACCGCCCCGAATGAGTTGTGTCGCACGAGCTGCTTGTCATGAAAAAGAACGGTGAAGATTATATCATTATTGTTTTCCACTTCTGACATAGCGTTATTATTCGGTTCGTTGATCGCTTGTTATTTTGTCATTTGGAGATATTTTTGATTCCTTGTGTGTGACTATGGTTGATGGCTGGGTTAAAATTCCAGTCCGGTCTAAAGGGTGGAACAGTTAAAAATTGGACAATCATGGTTAAGTGCACACTGGTTATGTTATTGTATAATTTTTTTTTGTTTATTACTTTATTTGATAAGGCTCAACCGAATTAACTTTACAGAGCCGAGGATGCTTGGTTACTATACAATACATCTTAAAACTATAGTCAAAAGGTACAACACAATAAACACTTTATCTTCCGCTATCCAAAAAGCCTCCTCCATCAGAACTGGAGCCGGTTCCAGTAGGTTCATTGTACGGCGGTTACGCCAACGAGGGTCAGAGCGCGTCCATTGCAGCAATGGCCGCAAAACGTGGTCAGCACTCACACACTCATGCTTTCCAAAGTCGACGACACATCGACCAAAAGAACTGCTGATGAAGAACAATGAGGAGGACCACACAATGGTTGCTGCCGGGAAAACAGACGATCGCGTGGCACACATCGAGAGTGGCCTGCTTTTGTCGACAGCCGAGTGAACACTGATGTTATTGTATAAATGACCAAACTTTATTTCTTTTGGAAGTTCAATGACTACACAATCGCAGGAAAATTATTTGATAAGGCTTCCGATTTTCCAAATGCGAATTTTCGGGCTTAACGTTTCACACCTTCCATCAGATGTTGTATCGCTGTTGTATCAACCTTATTTGATGCTGAACGTTGATTTGCTTTGAACTGTTTTTAATTTCCAACTGATTTTTGAGTTTTCTTGAGGTTCCGCTTAACGATTGCCCAATTTTGCAGCTCCGGCGAGTTTGGAGGGTTTTTATCCTTGGCCGAAAAAGCACGGAACAATTCAGGTTCAATTGGCTAAACTTGGTGAGTTCGTTACATTTTGCAAATTTTTATCTTTTCAAACCAGTAACGTTGGAAGATCACCTTTTTGTGGTGCGTTACTAGTATAAGATCTACCACCGAACTCTAGTCGTGACAACTT